CCAAATGTCCCCTGGGGGGGCAAAACCATACCTTGGTAAGAGCCACTGGACTAGAGCAACATCCAACTCTCAGCCTTCAGGATTTTACGAAGGCATCACTCACGACTCAAAAACAGGTTTTTCACATAAGAGTTACCCATGTGAAGATTTATAGCTGCTTTGGAATCAGAAACCTGGGTTTGAATGCACAGCTCTGTCATTTACTAGCCTGATGACCTCTCCGAGTTCTGGCTGCCTCATCATTAAATCAGGAACAAATAACATTGCCTCTTAGAGCTGCTGCAAGAATGCGGTGAGATAATTTATGCAAAGTACTGAGCCCAGCGGCTTAATAAGCACCAAAAGCTTTTAATAAACATTAATCCTTCCCTGGTGAAAAGGCAGCCCAAATTCTGTAGTCGGAAGCACATGGGATCCAGAATCAGAAGCCCTGGACCCAAGTCGTGCCTCGGCCACTTAGTAGCTGTGCGATCATGGCAAGTCATTTTCCCCCTTTCCAGAATAGAAATGATCATTGCCAGTAGGTGAGAACCAAGCCAGGTGGTCTGGTACAGCATTTGGCAAACTAAACCAACTAGAGAAAAGTTGATGATTAGTACTATCAAATCTTTTAAAGGTAAAGGAAAGAATGAGCTCTTCAACAAATCCAAAGAACTGAGAATGCAGTAATATCAGGGTAAGGTACAGGGAGAAAAAGAAAAATAATCATAGGGATTCTGAACCTCCAGGTCCTTCTAGACAAGCAACTGCCACCTGGTGACCCACACACCAAATCTGGTCACCAATATATTTTGTTTAGCCCCGCACAGTACCATGGTGATTGTCTCCTTTGCGCTAAATGCCATCTAACCTTCATTAAAATCCAGATTTCAGGCTTTTCTGGAAAGCTACAAAGGTTGAGTCACTCTGGGGCCATATTCCCACATGCCCCTTTGGTGAGATCATGGGGGGGGGAGCCGGCACGCCCCCAACCCTTACCTGGCCTCAGTCACTCATTTATTTTACTAGTCTGGCCCCTCTAGGCATTTGAGTCTGTAACCTTGGTTTATCTAAAGCGAGCTATCTGGGAAAGCATCTGAACCTCCAGGGAGCACTTCAATCAAGGCAGAAACCCACACCCAATGAGACACTCCCTCCCAGAGCCTCACCTAGGTAATAACTCTCCTGGCTAGTCCTTCAGCTTCCTTTTCTCCTGGACACTTCGACCTCATAACTGAACTTTCCTCAAGTTCCTCACCCTGTGTACAGCTTCCTCCATGCAGGGCATCACCTCCCCAAAATCACCACCTGCATCCACTGGATTATCTGCATCAAGGATTTCCAAACAACAAAATATCTTTCTTAGCAGGACTACAAAAGACACGACATGATGTTTCTTGTTTCCTGACCAGCGCCCCGGTTTCCCTTGGGGAGCCAGCGCTCCCCCACTCTCAGTCCCTGTTGTTCAGACAGGGTTTACTCCATACCCATTTCCAGGGAAAAGCATGGGGCCCAGTCAGAAGCACTCAGAGTCCATCTTGGGTCTTTGGCAACAGTGACTGGAAGAAAACTATTCTGTCCCTCTGGGACGAGACTGGAAGAAGGGGGTGGGGCTGGGGGTTCTCCTTGTGGACACAGCTTGTCTAAAGAGTGGAAACCCTGGATCCAGACCAACCTGCAGCCATACTCCTTTTGGATCCTTTTGGGCACATGTAAGCCTATAAATTCCCATGTTCGCTTATAGCAGTTTGATTTGGGTTTTCTTACAATCAAAAGAGACCTCATCAATACGAGAGAAATTTGAAAGAAGTGCTCGAAGATGGAAACAAAGCCATCGCTCAAACTTTCTCCTGTTTTTTGGTTACCTCTCTCCATCCAATAAGAACTGGCACTAACCATCCTTCTATAAGCACTGAGCTCAGGGTAGATAATTATTTCTTTTTTTTTTTTTTGCGGTACGCGGGCCACTCACTGTTGTGGCCTCTCCTATTGCGGAGCACTGGCTCCGGACGCGCAGGCTCAGCGGCCATGGCTCACGGGCCTAGCCGCTCCGCGGCATGTGGGATCTTCCTAGACCGGGGCATGAACCCGTGTCCCCTGCATCAGCAGGCGGACTCTCAACCACTGCGCCACCAGGGAAGCCCGATAATTATTTCTTTGCTTGCCTACCTCTTCCACAAATCTACTGAGCTCCTTCAAGGCAGAAACTGTGTCGTATTCACTTTTGACTCTTTAATACCTCACACACTGGCACACAGTTTGGGCCAACAAGTGTCTGTTGAATGGATGAATCAACAAAAGTCGGGGGATGAAAGGAACCATCCTCATTCTCTCATTTGGGACACCCATATCAGGAGAACACCTCTTAAGCCTTGACCCTATGGGACACAAACCATCTTCTGAAACAGACTCATCTACCCCTTGTAAACAAATTGCATCATGAGAACTCACTCCTTCCAGCCATTACTAATTCTCCCACACGTCCATCCCATGGAACCTCACTGTGGGGTTACTCACAAGTTCCTCATTTTGCGAAGAGAATACTTCATCACAAGACACCACCTAGAACTCTACAAACTGATAGTACACACTATGGGCAAGCCATTCACACAAATAACTTCATTCATTAGTGCGTGTGTGCTTTCTAGCCTTTGTTTTGACCCAAATATGACCAGAAGCCTGATTCTGGTGCCCACCAACCCTCTGCTTCTGCCCAATAACAATTCTAGGCTCTCTCCTACCTCCATTTTCTCTCCCTAGTCCTTTACAATTACTTAAGTGGAAAAAAAAATACAGATATATCTAGGAAATCAATAGCAGTAAAGCAACAGGTTCCCCAGTAAAAACAGTTTTGACTTTAGGTGCATAATTGCCATACCCTTAATAGCTCTGTAATAGCTGCAGCTTCCACTGCATCAAGCAATAAAGATTTTCAAACAGAGTCAAAGGTCAGGGCCAGAATTATAGCCCTAGGATGAGTCACACCACTTACTCCATCCAATTCTCATTTTCCCATACTTGGGCCCACACCACCAGGGCAATCTAGTGAGAACTGGATTTACATACATTTAACAATATTTACTGAGTATGTACCATGTTATAGGAACCACAGCAGTCCCTGGGAATCAAAGAAGAATGGGCAAAAACTCTTAAAGTGTTTAGTCTAATGGAGAACGCTGGCAAGTAAAGAGGCAATTACATTATGCAAAAACAGGTGCTACGTGGAATTATGAAAGCACCAAGGAGGGACATCCAATTTATGCTGGAGCATCAGGGAAGGCCTTTTAGAGGCAGAGATCTTTATGAGGAGACCTGAAGATTGAGCAGGAGGTGGCCTAGGGCAGGTGTGATGAAAGAGGCTTCCCAGAGTTCCAGGTAGAGGCTAAAACATAAGAAAGCACAGCCTCCTCTGGAAACTGAAAGTAGGCAAGTATGGCTGGAATTTAAAAGTGTAAAGAGAGTAGCTGCTACAGAGGAAGCAGGGGACAGAGACACCCTGAACAGCTTCCCTGAACTGCTCTGTAGCTTTTAAAGCCTCAGAAATTTGTTTAAAAAAAAAAAAATCACTTGCCTGATACAATGTACAAACAGGCCAAAATGACTATCTGACAAATACATTTTGACACTCACTAAGTACTGATTCCACAATTCACGTTACTGAGAACGCTAAGAGGGGCAGAAAATTCACAGAAATTATCTTGTAATTCATTTACAGATTCTTGGTTGAAACATTAGCCGTCACTAATACTCTGTCTACCTTCCTCTCTCTCAGCACTATTTCTATCATTCTCCCACAAATAACAGAAAAGTAGGCACACCTAGGCTTTAGCCTAGACAGGAATTAACTCTGGAAATAGGATAAATGCACACCAAGCTAACAGGGTGGCGTACCAAAAAAATTAAACAACAAAACTAAGCAGAAAGTTGAGGGAAACGAAACAGTAAGGAGCAAATTTAGAAAACGCAAGAGGAAGTAAAAGTATTTTCATACACACACAAAAAAAGAAGTGTCCCACGTGCTCCGGCCAAACCAAACTCCCCCTTTGACTCAACTGCCGAAAGAAGAAGCAAAAGCTGTGAAAAATCCCCACTTTCATATCTCTTCCCAGAATAAACAGCAAAATCCGTACCATACAGCTAACTTGCCCTGGAAGACCTTGAAATATTCGCCCCAGATAACACAGCACATGACAATCACCTCCAGAAGCTCTCAAAACCACAAACCAGCCCTGTTCCAACAGCCCGGTCATCTACAAACTCTGGTCTATTCTGTCATTACAGAATCAATGCTTGTCAAGCAGTCGAGGAATCCCAAAGAAACATCGTGCAGGATCTGCTTCCAAATCCAAAGTGAGAAAGACTTTAAAAAAAAAAAAGTAATTTCCTTTTAAATTGGCACTAGGCGTTTCCAGAATCCTTTTCTCCCAATTCCAACTTTTTAAATGTCAAGCCATCCCGTTCATATTCGCCCCTGGTCTGGAGACGGCACCACCTCTAAATTCCCTCAAAGAGCGTTCTGAAACTCACTAGGCAGATCCGCTGGGCTTTAATGACCCTTTACTTCTTTACTGCCACCATACACTTGTAAGCTAGGCTTTGCGGCAGCGGGGCGACCCGGAAAGGCTGAGAATGCCGCCCCAAGCCCCGCAGCCTCGGACACACCACTGATCGGAGTTTCAGCCGCAGGCGGCGGCCCGGGCCGGCTCGATCTCCTGGTGGGAAAGACAGGGGACAGGTCCAGTCCCCGGAGGGCGATGCTTCGCGGGCCAGTGGGGACCCTGAGGGGTGGGAGCAGGGAGGCGCGGCCCGCCCCGCCGGTCTCCGGGGGCCAGGCGGCGGCCCAGAGCCGGGCGCCAGGCCGCGGCGTGGCGCCGCCCCCGGCCCCGAGCCCCGCCGGCCTCGGACGGGGCGGCGGCCGGGCCCGGAGCGGTCGGGCCCGCGGAGGAACCGGCCGGCCCCCGTCCGTGACCCCCGGCCCCCGGCCCGCGCAACCCCCGGGCGGCCCGGCGCGGCGCACTCGCCTGCCCACGGTCTGGTTGGCCAGCTGCTTCATGCGGTTGAACTGCTTCTTCATGGCGACGGCGGCGGCGGCCCACGGGGCTCAGGCCGGGCGGGACGGGGGACGGCCTGGCGGCTCCTACATCACTTCGCGGCCGAGGCGGAGGCGGCGGCGGCGGCGGCGGCGGCTCCCCAGGCCCGCGGCCCCGCCCTCGTCGCGTCACTTCCAGCGGCGCCGCCCGCCGGGCCCGCGGGGTCTGGTCCGGCGAGGAGCGCCAGGCCCAGTGCGGCGCGCAGCCAGGCCTCCGCCCCCGGCCCGGGGGCCGCCCGATTCCCAGCCCGCAGGCGGTCCCCGGGCCTCGCGACGCGCGGCCGCCCAGGGCCCTGCGGTCCACCCGGACTTCGGCGTGCTTTCGCTCAGCGATCGCCCGCCCGAGTGATATTTAACTCACTTCCCAGACTAGATCTCAAACACACGGTGGACAAAGCAGACACAAAGAGTGTAGACGGTGCGACTCCGTCCAAGAACCGCCAAAACTCATCTTCAGGACTAGACACCCGGGCAGGGCTCGCTGAGGGAGGAGGGCCGAGGTGGACCCGAAAAGGAGCTTTGGGACGATGGAAATGTTCAAAGTCTTTAGCAGGGCCGTACTTATGCACAGGTGTAGACATTTGTCAAAATGCACCTATCTGTACCCTTAAGAGGGATGCGTGTCACTATGTACATTTTACCTCGATTTTTTTAAGAAAGAAAAAATGGTTGCGTGAAACTCACAAGCTGCAGGACAGTGTGATGCCACTTAGTAAAAAAGTCAAAGGCAATTAAATATATTTTACTCCTATTCAAAAAGTATTACTCTGGTACTGCTCTTCTTTTATTGATTAAAATCTACCTTGCATATCATTCCGTATAAAAAAAAATCAGAGGCAAGGTGTGTTTTCTACAAACAGGAGCTCAGAGATGGCATGTTCAGTGCGGCTGTGATGGTGGCCGCGTCCAGGGGGCCGAGGTGGTGCAGGGCACTGGGAAAATCACGGAAGGAGAGGAGAAGAGCCCAACTCCAGCGCTGGGAAGTCATGGATGAACAGAGGCCCGAGAGGGGACAGGTCACTGGAGACGGGCCCTTTGTTATGTCCCAGGCCAGGCCTGGGCGTTGCCAGGCAGGTGTGGCCATTGAGGGGCCTTCACAGCCCACATTGCCTAGAAACCCCTCACTGTGCTTTGATTCTTAACCTCGCGCTGGCAGCAGTGCAGTGACACTTGGCGGGATTGTCCGACTGTGCTGGACACTTTTTTCGGAGAGGACCAGGTCAGTTCTATGACCCGCTTTGATGTCCTCCTAGTTTGGTGGCCTTGGCTCCTGCTTAGGCCATTCCCTGGGGCAAGTGGGTGGTACTGTGGCATCTTTCACAGGCCACATTTCTAGTTTCACAAAAGATGTGCTGAGGAAGGGAGCTGAAAATGTAGAAGTACCTGACTCTACAACAGAGGAGGTTGAAGACTCTCAGTCAGTCTTAAAATCAGAGGCTGAGAGACTTAGAATCTTTGTAGTGATGTAGACAAGACGTATGAAGCCTCAGAGCTTCAATGAAAGCAGCAAACTGCAAGTTACAGACATCAATTACACCAGAAAGACATAGAAATCAAACTTCTTAAAGCAAGGCAGATAGCGCTAAAGGATCAGTTGCTAAAGGTGCAGTCAGTCACCCAGATAGTAAATCTTGAGGATGGCCTTGTGCCCTCAACTCGTGTACCCTCTTCAGTGGGTTATGATATCTATCAACATGCTTTAGGTTTCCAGAATGATGATATGGACTTTGCTGACCTAATTTGGTCACAACAAGAAATAAATAGATTGTCAAAAGAAGTTTTAAGACTTGAGGCTGATGTCAGCCATTGGAGACATTTTGCTCAAACTTCTACAGCATTTCATTTAGATCTATAGCTTTGATGTAAATGAAATCTACAAACTGCAAAATACCATCAAGGAATTTGAACAGAATCTAAATAAGGAAATTGATGACCATCAACTTGAAATAGCAGTGTTGCAGGATGTTCATCAACAGAAACTGGCAGAAATAAGTCGCAGGCATCCAAAACAATTAAAAGAGCTTCCCTGGTGGCGCAGTGGTTCAGAGTCCGCCTGCTGATGCAGGGGACACGGGTCTGTGCCCCGGTCTGGGAAGATCCCACATGCCACGGAGCGGCTGGGCCCGTGAGCCATGGCCATTGAGCCTGCGCGTCCGGAGCCTGTGCTCCGCAACGGGAGAGGCCACAACAGTGAGAGGCCCGCGTACGGCAAAAAAAAAAAAAAAAGAAACAATTAAAGGACTATGAGGGAATGATTCATGATATGCAAAAAGCTATTGAAGTACTAGCAGCTGAAAAACTAGAGTCCACCAAAAAAAATCAAAGGGCTTGAGATTAAAGTATCTTTAAAAAAACTTATCTTCTGTAGAAAAGGAAAGGGATGCTTTCATTAGAGAACAAAACCAGATAAATGAAATGAACGAAAGAACTGAAGAAGGTGAGTTGCAACCTTCTCTTAGGAAGTGGAGTGATGCTGTGACAGAAAAAGAAAAAGTTCTTCCACAGAGTACATCACTGGAAGAAGTGTCCAGATAGCAACAGCCACTGTCTGTTGCTGAAAATGAAATAATGCGATTGAGTAGCTTAAAGCAGGATAAAAATCTCATGGAAGAGAACCTGAAACTTCAAAAATGAGTCCAAGTTTTAGAAAAAGAAAATTCATTATTAAATAAAGAAAAGGAAGAACTTCAATGATCACTTGTCAAATTGAGCAATGAATATGAACTCATTAAAAGAACAGCTACAGGAGACATGGATTCGGATTCAGAAGTACATCATTTAAGATGTGACTGGAAAATCAAAGAAGGAAAAGTCAATGAGAGTACTACTTAAAAGAAGTTACTGATTTCTGAGTTAGGAGAGTTGCACAGGCAAAAACTACAATGCACGTGGTTTTGATGAAAGATCAGCAAACAGAACAACAAGATGAAGGAGACAGCATCATCGGTAAAGTAAAACAAGATCTAGAATATGAGAAAAAGAGAGTTCGTTAACTTGAAGATGATAAAGTGAACATTACTAAAGAGTTAGATGGGCAAAAAGAAAAGTTAATTCATTTAAAAATGGAAAAAGGACAGTTAGAAGCAGAATTTTGTCAGGATGAACAGAGACTGTTGGAAGAAAGGAAGTATGAGCAAACTATTAAAGAACTGTCAAATACAGATAACCCAGACAGCTGTGCCTTACAGCTGGAGCATGAGTGTTTAATTAAACTCAGTCAAGAGAAAGACTGTGAAATATCAGAACTCAAAAAGAATATTGAGCAATTGATTGCTGAGCACAAAGAAACTAAGGAAATTTTGTCATCTAGTTTAGAAGAGCAGAAGCAATTGAAACAACTCATAAGAGAGAAAAAAAAATTTATTGAAAAACTTCAAGGAAGTTCACAGCTTCGGGAGGAGTTAGATCAATATACTCAAGCCTTAAGAAAAATGGAAAATTTACAGCAAACCATAGAGGAAAAAGATACAAGTCTTGCATCCATGAAAGAAGAAAATAGTCACCTGAAAGAAGAATTGGAATGACTGAGGGAAGAACACAGTCAAACCGCACCTATGGTTGACCCTAAAACTCTAGACACTGTTACAGAACTAGAATCTGAGGTATCTCAAGAGAGAACAGTTGAAGATAATCTTGAGATTAAACCTCATCAAAAGATAATTGAAGATCAAAACCAGAGTAAAATGCAACTACTTCAATCTTTACAAGAGCAGAAACAGAAAAATCCCAAATACCAACACGAGCAAATGAATATTAAACGCAATCAGCTCTTTTTGGCCAAAGGGGAGGAAAAGGAGAATTTGCAAAATGCAATAGAACAAATCAAAACCCAGCCACTGGAAAAATTCCAGCACACGCCAACAGAACATTCTGATACTTTTCAAGTAACAGAAGTTCAGAGTCTTAATATAGAAAATGGAAATGAAAAGCATGACTTATCTAAAGCCAAAACTGAAAGATCAGTACAAGGAATAAAATAACAAAAATTGGAGATTAAACTTCTAATTGAAAAGAATACCCTTTTAACTGAACAGATTGATCAGCTGTCCAAAGGTGAGATTGGTAAACTAACGCAGTTTATCCAGCAAAAAGATTTGTGTCTTCACATGAAAGTATCTTCAGCTTCCTCCAGTGACCAAGATAATGGACAGAATCAACAGCGATTGCGAGCCTCTGCTTTGGAAAGAGAACAAATATTAGCTGTTTTAGATGAGAAGACTAGGGAAAACAGCAATCTTAAAAGAGAAAACTTGAGAATGATGTGGATATAATTGTTGCCAAAGAAGCAGACCTCATGAAACTCAAAGATGCAAATACAAAACTCTCCACCAGATTTGAAAGCAGTGGTCAGGATATGTTTAGAGAAATGATGCAGAATTTGTCCCACATCATTTGAGAAAAAGATATGGAAACCGATGCTTTAACTCAGAAGTGTCAGACTTTACTGGCAATACTGCAAACGTCCAGCAATGGTGATGAAGTGAGAGGTGTTAATATGGATCAGTCTGAGGAGCTTCTACAGGAACGTGATAAATTAAAACAGCAAGTTAAGATAATGGAAGAGTAGAAAGAGCACGTGATGGCCACTGTACAAAATATGCAGCGTGGGTCACCCCATCTTCAGAAAGAGCTTCAACAACTTCAGGCATGGGTTTTAGTTGACAATGATAATAATTCTAAACTACAGATGAACTATACTGACCTGATCAAACTTATGATGGGAGTGAAATCAAACTCAAAAACTTGGAGAAGCAAGTAGTGCAAATTCAGTTTAGCCTAGAGCAGCTTTGCAATACCAAAGATATTCTGTTAGGGATGTTTGACCTTATTTTACTACAGTCCTCCAATGAATCACTTACATCCGAGTCAGCAGCCTCTCTGAAGGCAATGAAACCTGATGAATTGAGTGAATCTTCTAAATTGCTCAAAGAAGAGACAAAAGAGTTAAGAAAATTAACGGAGGAAAAAGATGCAACCATTAGAGCACTCCAGGAAGGTAATCATAGATTGTCTGATTCCATTGCAGACAGTTCAGAACTAGAAAGGAAAACGACGTGAACAAATGGATTCAGAAATGAAGCAGCTACGGGAGAAACAAGATGACTTGCAAAACTTACTTAA